CCCGTCCCGTCCCGTGAGTGCTGCAACTTTGGACTACACCCTTCCAACTTTCCACTGGTAAAATACCAGCCAGGTGGAAACCTAAACCCCAATTGAAGTTTCAGTTTAAATTAGATCAATATATTCCAGGTACACTAGGATAAAAGGTGTTTAATGTCTTACAGTTGGTTTTCTTTTGAAGTCAGCCATAACCTGAGAAGAAAAGCCTGTGTCCTGTCAGCATGCTGGAGAGTGGGACTGTGGAAGCAGTGGTCTCTCTGAAGAGGTCAGACATGCCCTCTATTGAGTCTGACCTATAGCTCTGCAATCAGCAAAGTTAATGCTCCCTGCTCATCGAAGAGCTCTGCCACTGACTCCATAGGGGGAATGTCAGACCTCTGCAAGAGACTACTTTGGATAACGTAAGGTTTTTTTTTGCCATGTATGCCTCACTAGGGAGATTTCCCTTCACTTCCTTTCCGGTAGAAGGAGGATATATTTCCAATGTAAGGGATATCCCTTACATTATATCACTTTCTCAATCAATTCATCCCCACACAGCTACCTCCTCATGTATCACGTGCACCTGCCTTTTAGATTGTAAGCCCTCACGGGCTTACCATCTTGTCTTGAATTGTATTGTGATTGTAACGTCCTCCTTATATTGTAAAGTGCTGCGCTATATAAATCCTGAATATTAATAATAATAATTACTGCTTCCCCATAGGCAGGGGGCAGGCTTTTCTACCATTGAGTCCTCAAAAAGTTCAAAAAACTCCACCATTGGCATAGTGACATCACGAGAAAAGGTGCCAACTAGTCCAGTCTGTGGTGGGCACAGATAGCAGTAGCAGATCATTGGTCTTTATTCCCGGAAGAAACGCAGTGGAGGGTCATGCAGTGTGTATTCATGCGAATGAAAAAAAAAACCCCATAAACAATTGTGAATGGGTGAGAGTAGGGTTGTTTGGGAAGGATTAGTGGGGGTCCTAATTTTGCCTGGAGATGGTATTTAAATAAAGTCCTGTTTGTAGTATGCTTTATTACATCATACTGTACATAATTAAGCCCCTGCTTTGAGTTTTCCTATACCTGTGTAAGATTAAGTACTCTAAGACAATACAGCTCTATTGCTTTTATCTTGTGATTCTATTATACAGCAATGAGACGAGTGCAGTCCCCCATAGCAACCAACCAGAATTCACTGTTCAACTTTTAAGACAATTCAGTGAAATCTAATTGGTTGCTGAGCATTGCTACGCCACACTTTTATAATTATTAGTTTTACGATTATACAGGATTTATATAGCGCCAACCGTTTGCGCAGCACTTTACAAAATATGTTATGACTGATTTATACACTTATATACTGAATAAGCCTGGCATTGTCACAGGTTCAGAATTTTCTATGATTGTGATTGTATCTGAAAAATCTCCTTTGTAGAAATGTTTTTTCCCCAGAAATAAACGATACAAATGTATCGTTAAATTTAAATGCGGCGAAGACTAAAATGGAAATGCCATGAAATGCAGTTACTAGCGTGGTTTTATCTGCATCATGCTAAAGTATTCAGACAGCTGGTGGTTAACCAGCTTTCAATTAATAATGTGTATTTTTTTTAAGGCAGAGGAACTATCTGGAGAGTAACATGTTAAAAGACCATGTCACGGCGCAGGGGAAAGCGAGCCTAAGATAGAGGAGAGCACTGAGCCTGTGCTCCAGCGGCTGACCTATATAGGTAGGTGTAGGTAGCAGAAAGCCTTTGTGAGGGATGCTGGGCTAGGGATGTTCTACAGCATCCTTCGTATATACACAGACACTTCAGACCCCAGCCAGCAGAGGACAGAAGGCAGTACAACTGAAAGCAGCAGACACAAGAGATCCAGTGTGAGCAGCAGGCAGGGGGATTATTAGGAAACAAAAGAGAGAGGAGGAGGAGGAGAGAAAGCAAGGAAACAAGTCAGAGGCTGCAATCAGCACTGCTCCTCTCTCACACACATACACATCTCGCCGTCTCTCCTTTTCTTTCCTCCTCAGCCCTTCTTCATCCCCTTCCTCCGCACACCCCTTCCCTCCCTATCACTCTGCACCCTCCCCTCTTCTCTGTCGTTCTCCATCTCTGCCATCCTGCTTTATTTTCTGCTTGCCACCTCTCCGCTTCCCTCCCTCCTTTATATTTCTCTCATTCCCCCAATCCTTCTCCATCCTCCCCTTCTTCTTTTTTTCTCTGCACACTCTCCTTGCCACCCCCACCATTCTGCACTCCTCCCCCTCTTTTCTCCTCTCTCTTTCTCTCTCTCTCCATCCCTTTCCTCCCCCTCCTGGCTTCTCTTTTATTTATTTATTTTTGGCTGCTCTTCTCTGTCTGTTTCCCTTCTTCCTTGTATAGCTGTGTCTGTATTTTTTGGAGGTGCACCAGGGGGCTCCCCTTTGCAGTGCTTGCCGTGCAGGTAGTGGGGTCCCCCTCACTCCCCTCCTGCTTCAGCCTGTGCCCCCCCCTTCCCTCCAGAGTCCCCCCCTGTGCTCTCAGCCTGCTGCAGCCTACCAACATGATGGCCGCAGTTCCCATCCAGCAAAACGGGACCCATAGTGGGGTGCCCATAGACCTGGACCCCCCAGACTCAAGGAAGAGACCCCTGGAAGCACCCCCGGAAGCTGGAAGCACGAAGAGGACCAACACTGGAGGTGAGTGCACTGCCTGCTATTCTAAAGGGGGAGGAATGGATGTCTCAAGACAGATTCTCACCGCCCCTGGCCCTGCATGTACCCCTAGAACAGGCACCATAATGGGGGTGTGTGGTACGTTGCTGGGGGGCTTCTAAACTGGGCATGTTCATTGTAATCTGTGATCAAAATGGCGTCTTCTTCTGTTATTATTGTGGATTTTTATGGCTCACGTCCTCAACCTGTCCTATGCTCCCATCGCAATATGCTTTCATTAAGGCACTGCACGTATACACCCCTTTATGCTTCTGGGGTGCAGAGACATCTTGGAAAGGGGCACCTGCCCTTTATGTTCATGGCATTGTGTGCTTACAATAGATGCTGTAGATGTATGGGTGGCTGATTTAAGGGTTTCATTGTGAATCACTGCCGCTGCTGATGTAGAAGATGCAGGCACTGGCATCACTTGCAGCCCTCCGGAAAGGAACGGGTTAAATCCTAGTGCTGGAAGATGCATGGAGGAGGCAGGGACCAGACCAGTCAGCTGCACATCAGTGACTGCACCTCTCGGTCCCTTCTCATTGTTTCTGGGCATCCTTTTCTTTAGCAAGACAAACCTTTTCTTTCCCGAGTGCCCGGATTTTTGGAGCAATACTGTGTGCCTTTTTTTTTTTATCCCCCAATCATTAATTGTGAGCTTGGGGGAGGGGGGCAAGAGAGAGAAGCTCAGCTCACAGGAGCTGGGGGTTGCTTCTTCTGCATCCTGGTGATGTGTCCTAGCATCTTCACGTTCATTCCTATTGGAGGCATAACAATGCAACGATGCAGAGGTGAATGCATTTGCTGAGGAATTGAAGGAAGATCATTTTTTTTTTCCTTGGCTTGGATGTATGCTCCCAGCACAGGAATTACACATGGACCTGCACTTTTATCATAAACTGTACAGGGATATATATTTACTGGAACATGTTGAGGTTATGCAAAGTCAGTGACTTGTTTTATATTAAAAACAAATGAACAAACATGCAACATTTTCAATCATTCCATTTAGCAGGGACATTTATTCCCAATTTTGCTGTTTTACATTTTTCAATTCTGTTTTTTCTTTAACTTTGTTGGTTAAATGCGTAGCTATCCAGTGACCTGTGCGTATTTAAGATAACTGTGATTTAAGCTTTAGATCAGTTTGAAATAAGGGGGGAAAATCTTCTTAAACTACTTCAATTAATAAGCTTATAGGAGGATCATGAGAGATTGAAAGACGCTAAAGAAATACATTGGGATTAGTGTGGAAGTCATTCCACATTACGTTGAGGTTTTTTTTTTTTTTTTTCCCTTCTTGGCAACTACCTAATGCTTACAAATTAAACATGCTGTTCAGAGGTGAGATTATGGGTTCATTTATAGCAGATGTTTATAAAGAGTTTTGCTTGTCATATGCTTCATCCATGCACTTATGTTCATTTCCCATTGCTTTGTATTTTTTTTTTTTTTATTATTTGTACATAGGGTATAGATTATGTCAGTTCGATGTATTCATTGTCGATTATTATAGGGTGAACCGGACTTTGATCAGAAAAATAAACAAAAAATGAATATATTTAATCTGTGCCCAAAGCTGTGTTTTTGGGACATATGTAAGCGTGTAGCGGAAACCACGACATGGATAAAACGCTTAACATTTTGTACATCGAATTGCGAATGCCTGATAAAATTGTCTTGTATATATCTTTGCTGTATACTAACTGTTAATTTTTTTATTTTTTTTCCCCCTTGACAGAAGACGGCCAATTTTTCCTGAAGGTCCTCATTCCTAGTTATGCAGCCGGATCTATCATAGGAAAGGGTGGTCAGACCATCGTCCAGCTACAGAAAGAGACAGGGGCTACAATCAAGCTGTCCAAATCCAAAGACTTCTATCCAGGTAAAGATCATACCCGTGCCAGCACGTAACAAGCCTACTACGAAGTAGGATATAAATGCATCAATGAATAACTGCTGTTGGGATGATAAGAATGGAATGTACTGTTATGTGTGCTGCCTGATATTCCCCCTCCCTTGTATTATCTTTGCTTTAGTAGTTGGCTGAGGGGTGGTCGACCCTGCTTAGGTTTCTTGAGCATTTGTATGCATCTTAGTACTAGTGGCAAGTCACGCTTGCTGGCAGCTTGTTTCTGTAGTGCTTCTCGTCATTTTGGTATATGGGGAGGGTAAAGGGGCAGAAAAATTGCTGCCTATGACACACTTGCTGTGTAGGAGGATTCAGATTGGAGTCACGCAATCTTGGTGACATTTTAGTTTTGTGAAAGAGCGTGGCTGCCATGGCAGATGTCATGGCATATTCCTCTGAGCAGCTCACAGCACAAATAAACAGGAGTCGGCACACACTGAACTTGCCCAAATTAAAATATAAAACAGATTATATATTTTATGAAAAACCAAACTCTACGTAGCAGAATCCATAGCAGCTGCGGATTGCTGTTGATCGGGCTCTGAATACGTTGGTCTATATTAACGACCCAAAAGTATCTAGAAAGCACATTTGACGGTTGAATTTACATGCTGGATGTTCATAAATAAGGACAGTTACTGCAATAAGCTACTACAGCAGTGGTGTCACCCTGCAACAATATAGTGGGACAGGTCACTAAGTTAATTAGATGTTCCCACTGCAAAGACTGTCACTCTTAGACCACAATAAGAAGACTGCAATGAGACACTAGGCCGAAAGTCACTTATCAAATACATAGACGTACGATCCAAGTCATTTGTAATTACATCAGCCCTTACTATACAATTAGGCGCCATTGTTTCGTGTCACGGTTTGATTTGGGAAAGTCTATTTAATATCATTTTCTAGAAAAAGTCATGCAAATGAAAAGCATGAAGGGCGTCTGTTTTGAGTAATTTAGCTGCACTGTTTGCAAATAAAAATCTGAAAAATGTATGCAAATGCCTATAGTTCATCCTCTTCCAGACAAAACAGTGGGTTTTTCTTTTAGCAAGCCACCATCATTTCTTTAATGAGCTAGTTTTGCCTTATTATGCCTTAATGGCAGAAGACTTTGGAAGGCTTGTTTGGAATGTATGAGATCCTTGTGTATGCATGACTTTCTTGTTAGAATTATTTAAAACAATTGTTGGCTAGCTGTGTGTTTGTCGATCATGTTCGCCATTTGAATTGCTTTTGCCCTTATTGAAATGCATGTTGTGAGCATCACCTGTAATGAAGTAGTTAATTATTGTAGCGGATACATCAGAAAGGGATAGTAGGGTAAATGTGACAAGGCTGCATCCAGCATTTGTCTTATGGTCTGTCTTGGTAATCTAGGTAGCTGTACCTGAATTATATATATATGGTGTCAATTGGACTGAATGAAGACACCATACCTGCTATCCTATAACACACAGACCATGCCAATCTCTATAAGTCTGTGTGTGTGTGTGTGTGTGTGTAATGAAATATAATTTCTTGCATTATGCATGAGTTTGTATTATATGTGCTGAGATATTATAGGAAAGCGGTGTTTAGAAAAGAATTACAAATTAAAAGTGGGCTTGTTTTTACCAATAATATAATTCCACTTGAATTGGTTTCAATCTTGCAGTCCTGGGCCACACTTGTAGCCGAGTGTTTATAATTTGTGTCTCTGCTATTTGTGTCTGTGCTTTTATTAGCTGCATTGCTCT